AACCTGGTATTCTATGATTCTATGAAGTCAGATATTCAAACCATTTGGTTAAGAAATTGTAAATATTGCACCTGGAATTCTACAGTAATTATAAAACACTCATTAACTTAAATACTGAAGAAAATTAAGCCAGAACATATAGGTTTTAAGCTTAACATCAGTGTAGAATCTGAACTCAAATATTCTTGTTAATCCGTTACTGCAAATACTCTACGTTCTTTGGACCCCCATTCATGAAATACAAAGACTGACTGCCATTCCCAATACACATTACCAGCTTTTAAAAGCATTGTATCATGACTTAGATGGTTTTCTCCTCGTCTTCATTTGGGACTAATGATAACAGATCTTGTAAACTTTCTTCTGCAATTTTCTAGTATACTTCATTGGATAAATGACAAGATTTCAACAAAAATATTTTTTAAAATTATTTGATTCCGTCCAACTGTCAATTGCTGTTTGGAAAATTCACAACTGAAATATGCACTATGATCAGCTTTGAAACAAACGGTCTAGATTTATGCAAAAACATCCACGCTTCTATTCAGTAGACTTACCTTGTGTGATTCTAAAACCAAGAAAACATTACAGGAAAAAAGGGAATATTGATTTTGTAATAATTCCTTCACATAATGTAGAGAGAAAAAAAAAAAACCACAACATTTCTTTCTTAGACCATTAAGTCGTGCTAGTAAAAGGAAATAGAAATAACATGAAACAAAGAAATAAATCCTACCCTGAACACCCACTTTAGGTAAAAAGCTGAAGTCATTTTTCACCAACAGCAATTTGTTAGATAAAGCCTGTTTTCACAGTCTTGAAGAGGAACTTTCCCTGACCTGAGTTTATGACTTTAAAGGTACATTTATTTGGCAAAAAGGCTGGCACAAAACTCCCTTTATCGTAAGTACAAAAAATATATTTCAGTAATGGTCAAGCTCCATGTTGAGCAGCCAAAGCTAATAAATCAAAGCTTACACTTTCCAGTTTTTAAATCCCTGTGACTGAAACAACCGAGCTGGCAAGTCGTGTTCACAAGCAGTGGCACCGTAATGCTTCAGACTGAACCAGTGTGACCAACCAGCCACTTGTAAGCTGTGCCTGTACTGTGGTGAAAACACAGCTCTCAAAATGATAATAAATGCCAAGACGAATAATTTCTTCTTGGGATTTGCTGTCTTACAGTAAAGTGACAACCTTTCCCCTTTGCAGGTCCTTCTGTGGGATGCAGTGCACCCTTCTGCCATGGAAGGCCAGAGCTGCTCCCGAGCAGCAGCACAGCACCCTCCTGCAAGCCAGCACCCTCCTGCTCCCAGCTCTGCACGGGTGGGAAACCAAGAAGACGAGGTGACACAGGTGGGGTTAGGCTGGGGCAGGAGGGGATGCAGGTCAGAGCATAAGGCAGAAAGGTAGGTGTGACCAAGCAGAAGGAACAGCACAGACAGTAGGAGAGCACTAAGGACAGCAGCTCATGACAGATGCTGCAGTGTGCTTTTATGGGTGCTAAACTGGGAGAGGTTGGCCACCCCGATCTCCTATTTGCAGTGCATAAAGGGTTAGGTAGGAATGGTAGTTACAAAAGTTTAGATCTTTATCAGTTTGCATCATGAGCTTCATCTTAGCATCTGTGTTCTTCCAGGCACTAATTCCAGGACACTTTAGAAAAATCTGCCCTTGAAATAATTTAACTAATCATGAGGTTAAACTCTTTAGAAAAGCTCTGACCCTTTGTGAGGAGGTTCTAAATAAACTAAATACTTAATCTGAAAATACTAGCCATAGGATTTCAGCTAATATAGTACCAAATGTAGCTAAAAAATGTGAGATTTCTTCATTCTGGAGTACAGTGGAAGGTACATCCTGACTACACTGCCAAATCTATAAATAAGAAGCTTCTGTCTGTGCTGGTTTAAGGCATAGCTGCTCTCTTTCGTGTTGGCTCAGAGAAGATTTGTCATTTTGCCTTATATTTGTACAAAAGAAACATCTATACATGTTTAAAATGTGGTTCAATCGTGATTTCTTAGTATTTAGAAGAATACATTTCCCTTTTCTCTTCCCAACCTATGTTTACATCAACTTAAGAATATGAGAAAAAAAAAACAAAAAAAAAAAACCCCAAAACCCCACCACCCAACATTTAAAATGAAAGATTACTTCAGCTTATATGATCCAGAGGTTTAACTTTTGGCTAACAGTTCAAAATATAAATCAACTCCTTATCATGAACTCAGTTCTGACCTTAAGAGAAGATTAAATTTATTCTGTATATTACAGTATATACAGTATATATAGTAGTGTATTCTGCAATATTCCACCCAAGCTACTGACAGTGTGATGAAAATCACATAACTCATGAGAATAGAGTCCTTAAAATTACTTTTGTGTAGATGAAAACATAACAAACTAAAAAGAAAAGAAGCTCCTATGATACTTCAAATATTCTCACATTAATACTCAGCTGCAAGTGAAACTTTTATCTTGATGTAAAAATATAATTTCTTTCCCTTAAAAAGAAATCTACAACAGCCACTAAAAATCTTACCAGAAATAAAACCTAAGTAGAAGCACACCTCCCTCTGCAATATAGCACACTAGAACGTCAGCTATATAGTACTTTTCCTGACTACCTACCCTCCACACTAGGGCAAGGTAGTTACCCAAGTGAAGAAGAGCCTAGGAAAAGGCCCGGGAAATTTTCTAATTGTACAAAAATCGCTTTGAAAATGTGTCCTGTCATAGTTTGTAGGAAAGGTATGCTTTCTTCAAGCCTTTTTTCATTAAGCTATTCAGTCATGTGATTTCACTAACAAAACTGGAAAGAATGTTTCTTTTTAAACAGCATTGACCCCCCATGTCCCACAGATGACCCTCAAACTTCAAAGAGTGCACGTATTCAGATGGAAAAGTCAAAATCTTCTGTAGTGCAAACCCATTTTTACTCCTGCCATCTAGTCACAGCTTTTCATAGAAAGCAAAAGAAAGCTGAACCTTACAGAACAGAACCTGCTATTACCAAAAAAGTTATTGCAAATGAAGGGCCTACATATGCTCAGAAGAAAGCTAAAAAATACTATTTTGCTGCTTTTGCTTATGTTCATTCACCAAAAAGAATAAAATGAACGGACAGAAAAACTTCTTGCCCTCTGAACTGACTAAAGTTAATTAGTAAAAATTTTAAGCACCAACTAGGATTTTATGAGCTTAAGAGATCTAAATCAGCTATACAGAAAAAGCAAAAAGAAATTCTGCCCTAACAAAGATACTTATGTCTTGACCAGGTATATCTTAAATAATACACACATTGGCAATTTCATCCTCTTTACTTCATTGAGAATAAAATTCTACTCAACAAGACTCAAATTTAGGAGTCTCACTAACGGAAACGGGAATTTGACAAGTCCTGCAGTTGGGCAAACTACAAATTTGTCATTTTTAGTTGCAAACTGTTATCAAAGTTGGAGGTGAGAATTAAATACATAGGAATACAAACATTCAAAATTGTATTTGACACTCCTGTTTGTTCTCCTGTAACAGGTAACATATGGAAAGTAAAGTTGTGAGAAAGATTGTTTCTATTTCAGAATTTCACTGTAAAAGTGAAAAGCATACCTCTTGATGATACACCATCTATAAGAGATTAATTATTTGTGAAATTTTTATAACTGATGCATTTTGTAATAATTATTTTAAACACTGTATGTGTAAAAATATGGAAATAAATTCTTTTAGATATTTATTTTTCTGTCTGAATCATATTTTTTTCTGAAACAAGTTATTGTCTATTGAAATATTGGTACTTCTTGCAAAACGTTTACAGATTAGTAGGCAGTGTTTAGCTTAGGAGAATGACATTTCATAGCAAAATCTGTCATGCTGAAATCTGTCATATAAAATGTCACATTTTCTAGCTGCAGTGGCTCAACTTTTCTATCTAGTTGTCACTCATGTCATAAACATGACATTAGGTACTGTCACCCAAGCAGAAAATAATAGATTCAGATTCTAAAATTAAACTATCTTCTGCTTTAAAAGAGTTAAAGCTTAATGTAAGACAATCTTTACTCTGAACCCCAATACAGTGCTCTAGGCAACTGTATTGGATCCATATTCTCATTTCCTGTTTTCCCGCAGGGAAAAAAGTGAGAGACCTTTTTCTTAGATGTTGTAAGCTGCTGAACATCTAAGAAACATAAAACCTTCTTCATACTTACCTACAGTTTGTTCTTTATGTCCCTGTTTAGATCAATAGCAAATCTCCCATTCCTCAACAGATTTGACATACACAATGAGGAGTGAGCGGGAACACGTGATGGAGTACTGCAAGTTCAAGACCTTAAATACTAACAACACACCTAGCTCCCCCATCGCAGGTTTTCACCATTTTAAATCAGTACAAGTTAAAATATTAATATTTGGTTTCCTTGCATTTTTCCTTTTTGCCCTCTATTTTCTTTTACGAGAGTTATTCTAATAATGATTTGCCGCCTTCTGCTTAAAGAAGCACTGTTCCAAAAAGAAGCACCTCATTGAGTCTGTAACACCGTAAGTCAATACCCCCACAGGTGCACTGTACTCTAAGGTTTGCAGTCTGATGGATGGCAAATTGTGGTGTGCACGAGCCAACCTGTACAAGTCAAGATGCAGAAGCCCAAGCTCACTCCTCCATGGGGTCTCCAGAAAAAGAACAGAACCACCATTATCTTTTCTTTTTAGTGATCCAGATCACAGCTCAAAACCATAAACAGGTGAAGAAGTAACGCCAAAGGAATTGAGAATTGCAACTCATGAACAAGTAATTTAGCGTAGGAATTTCTTGGATCTGAGTCATCATGAAAGGGATATCACTGAGGTACATCCCCCAACAAATATTCTCAAATTTAGCAGCAGAGAAACTAACAGGCCGTATCTACACATCACATTATTGATAATCTTTTTCAGTTAAATTTTTGCAATACAAAGTAAAAACTAATTTAATTTACTTCAAATTATTTACTCACCTCATCTAAGTCTTTAATGTAAACAATTTTCTCTTCAATACCAATAGGCATTGGTTCACTATGGGGGATCTTTACCTCTTCATACATTTTATTGTTTTCTCTCTGAACTGCCTCTGGTAAGAACACCTAAAATAGTATTAAGGAAAAATTAATTGAAAGTATGAAAACAGAAAGTGTCATTACACATAACCCACTTTGAACAATGATTTGTCACTTTCCTTCAAAAAATGAATTCAAAATAAAAGCAATTCTCACTGATTCATTTTACAGATAGCATTGAACCCCCAAAATGGAAAATAATCAGTTTTACTACTCAGAAAATAGTCCCAAAACCACAAAAAAGGTAACTCCATTTTATTAAATTTCAAAAGCCATTAAGTCTAGAATTTCATAAAGCATTCATTTTGTTAAAGTCGATTCCATGGTTTCCAAAAGACAGAAAGAGAAAAATAGCATTTTAATGATTTAAGTGACCCTAGAAATAAAACCAAATACATTAGTTGAGAAAGATTATTTCTTCTAGAGTAAAAATAAAACCTGAATACATGAAAGTGTTTAAAGCCCTCTGCAAAGAAGCACTGCTTCATACTTTGGACTCTGGTAAGGAAGAGAATCTCTAAGGGAACAAAGGGAGCCCTGCTGCATGTTACTCACTGGGAAAGATGCACTGCTGAAGAGGGATGATGCACAGAGCACGTACCTTTGCACCCCCAATGAACGCTGAGGTTTTCATAGCTTCAGCTCGGGAATCATAAACGTGTGGATAATGAATTTTTTCAAAGTCCATCTCTCTTTGTCTGCTTAGGACTGGCAGACTTCGAGCATTCAAAAGTGCTAGTTCCCTGTGAGCAGAAAAATAACTGCAGTAATTCTGCTCAATTTAGGAAGTGATCACAAAACTGAATGCGGTATATGAAAGTCAGAGCAAGACTTGTGGAAATTGAAGGAAAAAAACATTGCATAATATAATCAACAAAGGAATTCTACAGTGTTACTCTCTGGCATTAGTTAAACCAAGTCCTTACAACAAACAGTTTAGACAAAAATCAGAAGTGCAATCCAATAATTCAGAGGCTTTCCTAAATGCAGTTTTGCCTCTTCTTAAGCAACACAGCAACATGCATTCAGAGTTAGATACCAGTCCCACTGCATTTTTCTCAATATGAAATACAACAGCTTATTTGCTCCTTATCTTCTCTCTTCCCTACTCCTCCCACTACCTTTAGCTGACAACATGGAAAATAGTACCCATTAATCTTGAGAAAAAAAAAAGAAAGATAATTCTGAGAGATTTAGTACAGACTTCATAAATCTTAAGCAAGTAGTGTGCACACAGAAACTAAGAAAGATAGCCTACCCCTCTAATCTGCATCTCCATCCCACACAAATGAGATCAAGAGACTCTCATTAAGCAGATCATTGCTTTCTTTCCCTGAAAACTGGGTTTTCATATTAAAAAACATTCTATACTTGTAATAAAACGTGACTTGAAATCAGAATCACCTAATCACTAAAGCAAACTAAAAGAAAATAAACTATTACGACATGTTGAAGTAACAATTACAACATAAACATTTCTCAACTTTTGGCATTTATTACCTTTGCATTCGCAGCTCTTTGGGATCAAAGCACATTAATCCTTCCCCAGAAACTTCTCCATCTTCCCCAGCTTGTTTTTCTTTCCTGGCATTTCGCTTTTCTTCCCGACGATACTGCTTCATTAACAGCTTTTCTTGTTCAGACTGAATTGTAACTTGACAACCATAATTGGGCTTAGTGTTTTCTCCTAGAAACTTCTTGCACTGTTCTGAAATATGACAACAAGCAAGCATCTCCATAAGTACAGGATTCCATCTTTTTTTCCCCCCCAGCTTTCTTCTAAAGATTTTGGGTTTTGCGTTAAAAAGATAGTGTAGCTTTATGTGGCTGACCATGCAGAAGTTGGCCTCAAGAAACCTAGAAGTACCAACTCATGTCCCAAAGGCAGGGCATTTAAAGCTACTATTGTTACGCAAACAAAACTTCTTTATCCCAAAGGAAGAGGATGGGCTAACAGCAAAAGGGCTTTTTTTCCTTTTCTGTATTTATGCTAACTTCATCAGCAGTGGAAATGCCATGTATCTCTCCTCTTACATGTCTACACTGATGAGCAGAATGGTGTGAAAACATTAAACAGCCTATTTTTTCTAAAAAGCCTCTAAGTCCAGCTGGAGACCTGTAACTAGTGGAGTCCCCCAGGGATCAGTGCTGGATCCAGTCCTGTTCAACATCTTCATTAATGACCTCAATGATGGTACCGAGTGTCATTACATTTAATGTGTAAAATGTAATTTATACACATTAATTAGATTCCCCCTAAGTCTGGGTGTCTTATACAGGCTGGGTGTCAGGAAGGAAAGGGCAATCTCTTCTCACTTATGCCCTGCGATAGGTCACATCCCACAGCATCCTTGTAGATAAATT